GGAACAGTTTTACACGCTGGTTCCTTTCGGTAGGAATGAGCTCCTGTCTCCTCTGAAAGACAGTGATGAGGTAAAGTCGCTGTGGGTCAACATTGACTTGGCTCTTTTGTCCAGGATTCCAGAGCGTTTGCCCGAAGAGCCGCTGGCCATGAGCGCCGGAGCAAACCAGGCGGCCAGCCTCCCGCAGGGTAGTAGTGCTGACCCCCCCGCAGAGAAGGGTTTACCGAAATCTAGAAGGAAACGCAAGGTGAGCTTCGGAGGGACCGACTGGGGAGGGTAGGGGGGCCTCCAGCAAGTGGGAGGCAAGCATCGCTTGTGCCTGCATCCAGTGCTCAATGGCGGTGTCTTCTCCGGACCGGCGCTTTGGAGCTGGGCTTTGTCCTCACTAGTCACATAGAAACCAGCCAAGCCCCAGGGGAGATGCCATCCCTGGAGGCGATGAAACTCCTGGCCACGAGGGATCACAGCCCCTTGGAGACGGCGTTTGCTGCTGGCACGCGGCTTTCCACGCCTTAGCAAAGACACCACCTTTTAGTAGGATAGTATTCTCTTCTGAGGCTTCTCTCAAAACCTGAGCATTTGGAGGTGATGCTTGGGTCGGCAAAGGGAATATAAACGGCTATCTTGTCACGGCCTGCGTGGTATCATTGCGTGTGTTGAACAAGGAGACGCAATGTCTTTTTCCCCCTCAGATTGTCAACAAGAGGCGAGTCCTTCAGTCCCGGCAGGGAGCCCCGGCTTTGTGGGGGATGCGCTCGCAGAGACCTGGGACCTGCCTGGCTCTGCAACCTGCCTTCCTCACACCCCTGCGGCCCCCTTTTATCTCGGGGCTCTCATACAGCTGTAAGAAGTGGGAGTGTAGTCCATTAGCTGGCCCCTCCCCAGCAGCACTGTCACAGCAGCCGGGTGGGCACAGTTCTCCGGTCACATCCACCCCTCCGCCCTGCCTCTCCCGCGTGTTTTCTGAGCCGCTTGTGCTGCCGGGGAGAAAGCCCCTTCCACCCCACAGCCACAGCTGTCCACCGAGGATGCTTTCTGGTCCATTTGCACTGATTTGACCCCAAAAGTCACTCTGAACTGGAATTGCCATCTGCCCAATTTCTGGACAGTTTTACTGTGCAGTCATCTGTCACCCTCTGAGCTGCTGTATGTGTGCAGATTGATCTTTACATTTTTGGGGATCGTTTATCTAAAGCAGTCTTTCCTTTTTTTATCTTTTTTCATTTTTGCATTCTTTTTTTAGTATCTGAAAGGTGGCAGCCTTGTTCTGGCCACTGGTAGAGCCATAACAGAGAGCCCTGATAAGCTTTGAGCTGCATTTGTCTGCATTTTCTTTAGGAAGTAGCATGGAAGTAATTGCACAGTACAAAATTATGGGAAACAGGCCAAGAAAGAGTGGCAGGAGCAAAAGTTTTATGTTTTGTGCCATAGGAGATGCCAGTGTGATAGTGCCAGGCTGTGCACACGGGAGGAAACAAGAGGACACGATAGAAGAGCAAAATAAATGCAGCCACGCTAGAAATGCTTAATCCGACTTTCTGTGGCACATATTATCTTCTACTCTTCTGTTTTAAAGCATTGCTGTTGTTGGTTGTTTTAGTGATATAATAAATACAAGGCATGCCTGGAGTACCAAATTGCCTCTCAGCCTGGAATAAGACCCTCACCGGGACAGTTGCCATGCAAACTCACAAATGTGATCCCCCTTCCCAAAAGACTTTAAGAATAAGACTAGTAAGAATAGATTATCAGGCAGAACTGCAAAATTAGAAAGAGGTCCTTACTACTTCCACCTCTGTCATGATGTCAAGATGGGCAACGTAGAGAGAGGAGGATGGTTAAGCACTGAGGTGTGAGAAGATCTTCACTCCTGTGGAATATAAGCTACAATGTTAACCCCATAGCAGCAGCTATAGTGGCAGTGGATAACAAAAAAAATGTTGTTACCATGCAGCAAGGCAGTAAATACAGCAGAATCAACAGTTCACAAGTAAAACTCAGCCAGCACTGGCAACTAGAGAAGTGCTAGAAGTGGAAAAGGGTGTGGACTTTGTAGGAGACTGGGAAAGCAGAGCCTTTGGGAGGCAATGGTAGAACCTAAGGAACACAAGATGAAATTAAACAGTGGCAGGGAACATTGGCGATGTTCATATTAATAGGTCAGATAGGGCCAGGGTCCAGCCCCAAGTGGTGGCACGCAGTCATCCATCCTCTTTGTTTAATTGTTAGCACGCTTGCTAACGTGGTTTTAGCCTGGGACAACTTCTGTTCTTCCAAACATTGCCTGACTCTCGCTTGGGACCGCACAGACTAAGGTCCCTTCCCAAAAGGCAGTCCGAATGTGGCATACCCTGGTTTGAAGGAGGAGTGAGATGAATGCATGGGTGCGAGCTGTGCCATGCTCGTTGGCCTCAGGGCCAGTTGCTGATCTGTTGTGTTTACTAATACAGGCACAGTCACTGATGCCAAGAAAAGACGGGGAGAGACAAAAGAGGTATGAGGTTGAGGACTAGGCAAGAGAAGAGCGCACAGGAGATGGGCAGAGAGCAATATAAAGAAAAAATATCCCAACGTGCAAGTGGGGAAGTGGTTGAAACAATTCAAGTTTGATATTCCACTCCTTTGTTTACACACTGCCTCTTTAGATTTTAGTTTTTTAAGACATGGACCAATTGTCTCTGATCCATGTTAGGTATATGCTCAAAGAAAGTGTCATCATTAATATCAAAATGCCAGAAAATACCAGCCCCTGACTTGTTGAAATACTTTTGGATCTGTAGTAAATCCAAAATCTACAAGATCATTCTTTTTCTCTTCACTCAGTGTGAGAATGAGGAAGAGTGCAGAGACATCAAGAAGACTCATTTAGAGAGAGAGGGTTCTTCACGATTACCTGCCTCTGCCCATAGCATCACAACAGCAAATCACTGCAATATGAATGAAAACAGGTAAGCATTTTCCTTCTTATTTACTACTGAGCTATACAACTAGTTGCAGTTTAATGCTGTGTGTTACTTTTTCCTTTAATAGGATTTATTTTTTAATTATCACATTTTATGTTGAAAAATTGCCCATTGCATTCTCCTTTCTTCTGGTTTAATGAACAAGTTAGCAGCTCCTGACACATTTATATACTCGCATTTTTGTCCTATTGCACAAAGAAGTTGTGAGTTCAAGTGTGAGGCTCATGGAATGAGTAATTATAGCTACAGCAGTGCGATCATCCGAGACGTATTCCCAAACACTGTGTTGTAGGTACCAATTCACATAGGCAACCATCTTATAACCTTTTCTTTCCTTACAGTGTTACGAGTTTCAAACTTAAAGTTTGGCTGTATGTCTGGGTTTAAATACAATTATCTATAAACTCTGTGGAAAAGACTGAGAAAAATATTCATAACAATGCCTGCAATACTCAGTTTCAGAATATATTTGAGATCCAATATTTTTGAGATTACAAGCAGTCTATTCTGTGTAATTAGTGGATATCTTAGGACAAGGAACTCAGACGTTAAAAACAATCAGATTTTCAAAGGATGCAGGGCATGAAATAAATTATGAATATTTAGCGTTTGCTGGCATGGTTTATGCAAACAGACCCCTACCAACGTCAGATCAATCATACTGAGTTTCTCTGGAGGCCAGAGGCTTCCAGCAGTCAAACTTAGACATGCATCTTTTCAGAGTTCACCTGCATGCTGCTTAGTACATGCTGGTCATCAGTATTTTTTAAAAAATCATCTTCTGGTAGTATCAGGGTATCTCTTGGGGTGGAACTGCTGAAATTAGAGAATAGTTGTATTTATTGTAGTAGACTTTTCTGTTGTACACATCACTGATGAGTTTGAGCAATTCTTGTCATTAATACTGGAAAAAATTGTGGAGAAAACTAATATATATAGTGCTTATTCAAAAATATGCATTCAATTTCTTTGTCCTGACATGTCACATATGTTTCGTAAAGTGAAAACAATACACAGAACAGTTTGTTTTATTGTGGGTGATTGCATGCAGGCATGCCATTCCTGTTACTGCAGCATCATATGTTTTACATCGCATTCATTTTCAGAGAACAGCATGGCTGTCATAGCTTGCTATGTCACAGGGTTAATTCTGTGCTTCCTGGAAGCAGGACAATAATTTGTGTTGTGCTTGACATTATATTCAGGACTCCTGGTAACAACTGTACATTAAAGAACCAAAGAAGAAGGTCTTCAATGTATATTTGCCTGCTAATTCTTCTCTGGTCTGCCCTGCTTCCAAGATGTTTCTGTGGTTTATGCTACTGTAGGACGTGATATCAAATGCTAATATTCCCACAGCTGAGGATGGGCTACCGAGGCTGTAGCTAAACCAGCAGTGCAGATATCAGGACCTCCTGTCCCTCCTGCAACCAGCAGCAGCTCATACTGGCACATCCCCCCTCCAGTTATGCCACCATAGCTGCCCAGGAGGCTCTCCTGTAAATTCACTCAAGAAACTTGTCTGAAACCAGCACTCTTTCTTTTTTTTTTTTTTTTTTTTTTTGCCCGGGTTATTACTATTCAGCTCCCAGCAGAGCCTCACAGACAGTTTTGTCAGCACAGCTGAGGGCTGGTAACAAAGAGAGGAGCAAAACCACCTTCAGACATGAGCATTTTCTACTGTGGAATTAGAGTCTGAGGTGCAGACTGAGCAAGGCCCTGTTTGACAAGAAAGGCTGCAGCGCCAAAAAACATCAAAACCCCAAATATCTTGCATCTACGTTGGGTGACACAATCTGCCCACTCCCAGCAGACCAGAGCTCACTGCAGGTTGTTCTGCACAGCTTCTCAGTATAAGGTGATGGTGCTGCTGCAGTTTGACTGCTCACAATACGCTTAGGTGGGCCCTACGCAATGCACCAAAGGCCATGTGGAAGGTCTGCAGCACAACTAGAGACTGCAGCTACCCCTCACAAGCTCTGGGCCAAGCTTTTGAGGCTTGGGTACACTTCCAAAGAGCTATGGCTTCTCTTGCATGCGTTAGGCTTGCACTTTGACAGTGGTGTATAAACATGACTGGTCAAGGCATGGGTTTATGTTTGAAAAGAGGAAAAGAAATGACAGCATCAGCCTGCACATTCAAAATAGTGTTAAAGATCTTATTTTTTTTTAGGGGGAGAAGAAGGGTACAGTTGTCCATCTTACACACCCTGATTCTTGCTTTTGTAAACAGCATTGGTCATTAAAGCAAAACAGTTCATGTTGCGTTTTAAATGTACTACGCTGTGGGAAACAGGAAAGGTTCTGAATTACGATTCATGGCTTCTTTCACAGCTAGTTTTTAAAGACTTGCCAGGTAAATGGACAAATGTATGATAAGAGCGCATTTAATTAGCTCTGTTCCCTGAAATGATGTGCAGAAATAAAGTATAGTTTGTACCATATTCTTTTTTGTGATTCCATTAAGTGTATACTGTCTGATACAGTAACTATAAAGAAGTGAGAAATGTCCATAAAAAGTAATAGGCTGAATAAAGGGGAATGTGACAGGGAAGGGTATTGTGTTAAAATAGTCTGTCTGACCTTAATCACAGTTTTAGTCTTAATGCAAACTATCTCCTTAAAAAAACTTTTATTTTGTGTGTGTTGCTTTAAGATTTTCAGCTAAACATTTTCTTCAAATTAGTGCATCTGAAGTTTATTTCTGGGCATATTTTTATGGTCTGTCTGACTTCTCCTCAACCAAAGCTTCTCCCAAAAAAATGAAAGCTGAAAATACTGTCTGTGTTATAGCTTTCTTCTTTAGAAGACGGAGCAGCTCACATTTCTCTGCGTCTACTGTTTGCGTATGTTTCCTTTTGTCTGCAGTACCAGCCTATCTTTCTTTGCCTTCAAAATCTGTATTAGATTAGTATAAACAGTGCTACCAAAGGCTGGGCATTGAGCACAAAGACAAGCCAGTCATCTTTAAACACATTTCCTGTTTTAGTTCACATATGGTTTTATTGCCATGGCTTATAAATTGTCACCTGTAATGGTGAAATAGGGCTCCATAACCTGAACTTACACTTCAGAGCCTAATCTTCGTCTCCAGCTATCCCTTAAGAAATGGTGAGCAAGTGGCCATTTATCTCTGTATTTTTTTTCAAGTACTCTGATACAGACTTTATATTAACTCCAGAATTACAATTTGCCTTGAAGGGA